GATTGAATTATCATTCTACACTTACGATAAAAAATTGTTCATTTGGAACAAGTGAATTATCGTTTCAAAAAAACGATAAAAAAATCATTTAATTGAAATGATGAAATTATCATTCCAAATGAATGATAAAAGAATTGTTCAATTGGAACGATCCAAAATTTTGGATTAATCCGAAATTTTCAGTTCAGTTCAAATTTTTTTTGGTTCAGATTAGATTTATAATCTGAAAAAAATCTGAACTGAACTGAAAATTTTCGGATTAATCCGAACTGTTCAGAGCTTTATTTAAAATGATTAGCAGAAATTCAAAAATACTATTTTTAAAAGTTAAAGATTTTAAATGTTTAATAGCTTTTTATTGTTATATGTATATCAATATGATATAAATAATAAAATAAAAATAAATATTTACAGTAAATTCATTTGCTTATTTAATCATGTAATAATACTTATTACATGATTCCAATGATAAATATAGCAAACTTATTTTATTTTATTATTATAAAGCAATGATATTAATATAATTAATAAAAAAAAATGTAATTTAACATATCAAATAATATTTTAAAAGTTTATAACAATTTAAACAAAATGTTAAAGTAAAAAAGTAAAATCGAATTTTAATAATAAAAATATAAGAGAAATATTGATAATAATATATTTGAGTTGCTTATTTTTAGAACTAGTATACATTTAACACTACTTAGTAACAAATCTTAGAATATATTACAATATTTAAGACAAGTTCCTCTAAAAAAAAATGAAATAAAATGAAACAAATAACGTAATATATAAATAAAATTCTAAACTATTATGCTAAAATTTATTGAAATATAGTTTCTTCATGTTTTCGTTTTGCTATATAGGTACCAGGTTTGGCCATTGCTGAAGGATGGGACGCTAATTCAGCAGGTACACGAGATATAGGTGATTTCATGATCATTTGCTTAAGGTCATACCTTTTGAATATATCAAAAAAAGAAATTAGTTTAAAGTCGAAATATTTTAATAATTACAAATATGAAACAATGACATACATAACATCTGCATCCGCGTTAGACATGAACGTAATCGAGACACCAGATTGTCCAGCACGTCCTGTACGACCAATACGATGTGTATAATCTTTAAAGAAAAGAAGACATTTGTTAATAAAAGAGATCATCTATTATGTTAAACCTTTAATAATTCACAATACCTTCAATATTCTTGGCCATATCATAATTGATTACCAGCGAAACATTCTTAACATCTATACCACGACCAGCTACATCAGTGGCCACTATATAAAGAATAAATTAATGTAACCAAATCCTTTAGAAAAAAAAAAAATTTAATAACTTTTCGTTTAAATACCTAGTATATCCATTGTTCCATTTTTGAGATGTGCCAATGCACTTTCTCTGTAGTAAAAATACAATTAGTTCCATTGCTTAAACTAACAGAATACAAAATATATTCTAAATATACTAACCTTTGTTCTTGAGTTTTACCACCGTGCAGTGTTGTTGCACGATACTAATAAAAAATTTTTTTAAAAAAAATTTCATTAATGAAAAAGGTTCAAAGATAACTTAATAATTTATAAAGTATTTAAATACCCCAAGCTTGTTTAATGCTCTAGCAAGAACATCACACCCTTTCTTTTGGTTAACAAATATGATGATTGGTGGGTCAAACGATCCTTGAAGAAGCTCAAGAAGTCTTGCTCTATAAAATATTAAATAAGTTCATTAAATTCCTAACGAATTTTTGGAAGAACAATGCAGTAGAGACACGTACTTCTTTCTTCCTTCATCATTTATCATTTCTACCCTTTGTTCAACAGTATCTACGGCTTGACCAGCTGTTCCTATTGTAACGACTGCAGGTCGTCTCAAATATCTATAGAATCACATAAGATTAATTTTCAATAAATTTCCATGACATAATAATCCTTTAACGAACCTTTTAGCTAAACGTTCTACAGCAGGAGGCATAGTAGCTGAAAACATCACAGTTTGCCTATAACGTTCTTTTTGCCCAATTTTCTTGAGCATTTCGGCAGGATTTTCAGCCTCTTCTGTGTCTGGTTTAACATTTGATACGGGTAATGCATCTAAAATTACATTGACATCAGTTTCGAAACCCATATCGATCATACGATCAGCCTAAAAAAAAATATTGAGATTCGATACTTTAAAAATCGGAAAGGAAGATTGAAATTTCTATATTTTCAAATATACATACTTCATCCATGACTACATAGGTACATTGATTGAGAACCAAGATCCTTCTGTCCAAACAATCTTTCAAACGCCCAGGAGTCGCGATAATAATTTCGGCACCATTTCTCAAGTTAAATGCTTGTTCTTCTACTGCGTGCTAGATATTGATAAAAATATTTCTGTGTCTTAGCTTTATAAATTTTGATTCTGAAAAATAAACAATAATAATGTCTTAATGACTTACCCCACCAACAATAGAAACACAGTTGAAACCCATAGGAGCGGCAAATTTTAATGTTTCTTGTTCAATTTGTTGCGCTAATTCACGAGTAGGTGCCAAAATCAAAGCATAAGGTCCATCCGACATATTTTCCTCTGATAATCTCGGAAGGTCGGATATATACACAAGCATTGGTATTACAAACGAAGCAGTCTTACCACTACCTATATTTACGGATATTTTGTGATTTAAAAAATTTTTATAAATAATCATATTCAATTTCGTACGTACCTGTTTCAGCAATTCCAATGATATCTCTATTTTGTAAACCAATAGGTATAGCTTGTCGTTGGATAGGCGTAGGTTCTTTATACCCGATACTCTCAATAAGATTAAGTATACGTTCCGACAAACCAGATTCGACCCAGGATCTTATAGGATTTGGAATACTACCACCTAATAAATGTTAATATCATTAATTGATAAGTTCAAAATGGTTAATATGTAAATGTAAATATATTGAACATGCCTTTGGTGGTAATATTAAAATCTTCCTTAAAGATACGCCAGTCTCTTTCCTTCATCTCGGTCAATGGTTTTTCTGACCAATGACGGTCATCCCACATTGTTTTCAACTCTTTACGTCTATCGATTTCCATTCTTTCTCTGAATTGGATTACGAATTAATAATATGTAACTAATCATATAAATATACATATTAAAAATAAAAAATTCATAATTACTCAGCGCGGTCTTTCTGATCAAGAGTTCTTCTTTCCTCTAGAAGTTGGTTATAAAATTGTGCACGATCTCGCTTTTGTTCTTTGATATCGATGCCAGCGAAATGTCCACGACCAAACATTTGGGCATTATGCTTATTTGCATACAGAGGATTAAAATCTTGAGAGGTATCTTCTCCAGCATCCCAATCAAAAACAAACTTCTTTTCATTCATCTTACGTATTTTACGTTTTTTACGTTCACCTCCCATGTATCGTTCCTTTAAATTATAAATGTTATCCGTTATTCGTTATTAAAGAGTAATCTTTATAAGTGGTATTCGAAATACGACATACCCTAATAGCTTGTAATTCCTTTTCATCTAATTTTTCTGCTTCTGTGTTAACATCTGACTTATCCGACTTTTCAGTAGGGCGTTTTTCAATCTCTCTCTCTTTACCTCTTGGTCTTTCACGATCATAACGGTCATATCTATCGCGATCATATCGATCATAATAATCTCGTCGATCTCGACCATACCCTTCTCAACAAAACTTATTTGTTACAACGCTGATTAATAACAAATGGTAATGAATAATGATTTTGAATAGTTACCATTTTGACGGGCTTCTTCCATTGCACGTCTTTGAAATTCTTCTTGTTGGCGCCTTTCTTCTTCTTGTTTACGACGTTGTTCTTCAACCTCCTTTTGCCGCTTTTCTAATGCTACTTTTGCCCGTTCTTCTTTTGTTAAGAATTTAGGCTAAATATGATAATGTAAAATTTTAATATGAATCGTATTAATGCACTTCCCCATAAGTGAATTTTGGTATACTATAGGAGAAGTGATTTTTAATGATTATCTTTTTATTACGAAAATCTTTAATAGAAAAATAGAGAATAATACACTTACCCTCTCATTAACTTGTTTCTCGGATTCTCTCTTCTGCAATAATTCTTCCAACGATATCGGAACTTTCGGTTTTGCTGTCCCATTCAATTCCTTAGTCAAATCTTGATTGTTCGGTACTTTATCAGGGATTTGAATTTTTGGTTCATTAGCATTGTCCCGACCTTCATGTCTTGGCTTGTCATGACTTGGCGAAATCCTACGTGGAGGTTCATTATAATCGCTCTTTCGACTTTCCCTCTCATATTCTCTCCCATATCGATGTCTATGATAAGAATCGTCTCTGCGACGTTCAATTAAATGAGGTGATCGGGAACGATGCCTCCTAGAACTTGAAGCAGTGTCAGTGTAGGACCTAAAGAAAAATAATCGTGTTAATTTAAAACTTAAACTGATAAAAATCAGCATGCATACCTTCGAGATCTTTCAGTTGGCATTATAAAAAAGCTTTGTCAAAAATAAAAGATTGACAAAAGTTTTGATTTGATTTATAGATCGACAACACGTGACATTGGGGTAGATATACAACTACCCCAGGATCACCAACAAAAAATCACTTTCACGTGACATTTTGGCCAGAGTTATGGCATTAACCGTGAATTAAGGCATTATGTATGTGACGAATAGTGATGTGACGAATATGATTTTACACACCGAAAAAATTCTCTGTTTCTGGAATACTTAGTAAAAAATGAAAAGTGAAGGGTGTGACGCGAGGCGACAAATATTTTTTATATAATCACGTGAAAGTGATTTTTTGTTGGTGATACTGGGGAAGATGTAGATATACTAATTAAATCAAATATATATATATATAGTCCTTATAATTCAGATTTTTTTTTACTATACTTGTTTTTATTTACTGATTTCAGAATAGTGTTAGAAAAATTATATAGGATATCCGGATTTTTGTTTAAATTATTTATTGGCAGTATTATACATTTTGAAATATAAATTTCATATTATTTATAAAATTTCTTATTTTTAAATATTTGATTAAGAAATATAAAGCTTGATCTTCACCAAATATACTTTTCTATGTCTTACAAAAAGTATTATCTGAATTACATCATTAAGAAATTAATTTTTTTAATCTATCTTATAAATTTTTCTTATCAATTTATATAGAAGTCAGTCAAAGCTTTGATTTTTTAAGATCCATTTTCATATTTAGATATGTTTTCAAATCTAATTTATTAAATAATCCCTCTACTTATTATTGATGAATAACTAAAAAAAATAAATTCTACTTTAACAAATTCATATAAATGTAAATACAAATGTAATTGTAGATTTATTGATATACAAAATTTATCAAATACTTGTTAAAAGTTAGTATTTTAACTAATAAATTATATAATCTGAAATCATTAGAATTTGAATTATTAAAATTAGCTTGCAATTCTTTTGCATATTTAACTTCTGTTTCAGTTAGATTATTTATCTAAGACAATTTTAAAGAAATGTGATGAAAACTTTAAGCAAGATATTAATTTGAATTTCCTTTAAGATGATAAATTGAAAGTAAATGATATTAAGAAATAATCAATTTGGTAAAATGTTTTTTTAGTTTTTTAATTCTTCTTTTTAAATCATTAAAGATTTTTAAATTCTTTAATATTTAAAAATCAAGAGCTTCTAAGAAATCATCTATAAAAAAAATATTAAAATTATTATTTAAATTATTTAAATATTTAATTTATTCTGTAACTTAGTCTGGTATTTTGTATACATAACAGTCTGAAAGTAATTTTTCACAATAATTTTCATAATAAATTTATATAATTAAATCTTATATTATATTAAAGGCTTGTAAAAATATTTTCAAATTATACTAAACATTTGACTTATATTGTGAGTTTTGGATTTTATAACTATTTTAAAAAGTATTTATTTAGCAATATACATTTTGAAAGATTTTTAAAGAGTTTTAAAAGCTTAGATAAATTAACTTTCAAATTCTAAATAATAATGATGACGCTTTAAATATTATTATACTAAAAATAATTTATATCTTAACACCTCCAAATAGATCTTTGATATTGATTAAAAGAAAATGCAAAATATTGATTATAAAAATCCTGAATTTTTTGTGCTGTTATATTATAAAATATATCTTTATCAGTTGAATCACATCTATTATGCAGTTTTCATGTTAAATAACATATATTATATAAATAAACAATCCTTATAAAACCTATATTTGTTAGTAATTTCTAAATGTAATTTGTTTAAAATTATTATAAATAATATGTATTATATATAATTCACATTTAATCTATATAACATTAGAATTTATTTCTTTATTAAAAATATAATTGCTTCATTTTAGCTATCTAATATATAAGCTATATTAAATCATTATTACAAGTAATTTATTTTAAATTATATTCTAAAACATAAAATAAACTAAAAAATTTTTACTGTAAAACATGCTTTATAATATTCCTATATATAATAACCCCTTCTTTTAAAGTAGCTTAAAATGTAAAATATCTCATTACTAAGTATGTAATATATTTTTAAATAAAATTTTATTTTATTAAATTTAATATAACAATTTGCAAAAAAATCTTTATTATTAATTTACAATTTATAATTCATTTGCTAATTATTAATTTTATAAATTTTTATAATTATCAATAACATTATTATCATATATACTATTTTTAATTACATCAATAAGATTTTTATTTTTATCATTTAGCAAATTATAATCAAGATAAAATTATCTTTAGTATCATCTTTTATTATAAAGATTTTACAATATTTAAAAGATATTTTAATCTTTATATTTTAATATTAATATTATTCTAAGTTACTTTAATTTATTGCGTAATTTTATTATAAACAAGTCTTTAATCTTTTTAACTGAAGTAAAATTATAAAATTTTCAATTATCTATTCATTATATAATTCATGAATCTAATAAATAAATAAAATTAAATAAAATTATTAAAACGATTAAAAAAATAAATAATATAAATAAATATTATTAATTTAAAAATTTTATTAATTTTAATATCTAATAGTTAAAGTTTACTGAATACTATTAACTAAATGATAAAAAAAAAATCAAATATTAAAAGACTTCTTAGATTAACATTTATATCAATTCTATTATTCTCAATTTATTAGAACATTTTTACTTTGTTAATTCATCTGTTTTTATTAACCCAAATTTTTACTCTATCAGGAAAAATTTTACAAGGTATATTTTTTAATTTAAAAATGATACCAGATTTTAATTTAGTTCTATATAACATATATATCAAAACTATAGTAAAACAACTTTTTTCATAACTAGTTGATCTAATACTAATAGTTTTAGATCCTTTTATTTCTAATGTGATTAAAGATGATAAATTAAAACTAAGAAAAGTTTTATTTAAATTAGCAATTAAATTGAGTAGATAATTATATTATATTCATTTAAAAAAAATAAAACTCAAAAATGAATGCTATTATTTAATTAAATTTTTAGGTAAGTGTTAAGATATTATTATTCTTTTTCTATTAAATAAATTAAATTTGTCAATAAAACTATTTAACCACTTATTAGAAAATTTAAATTTTGAATTACTAAGTAAAATTGTTTTATTTCATTAATTTCTGTCAGTTTTTTTTTTGTTTTTTATAATTATATTGCAACTTATGATTTTGTTTTCTTGTCTTAAACTCTGTATCTATTGAAAATAACAAATTTTTTAATTCAGGTAAACTTGAAAACTTTTTGAATATAACTTTTTAATATGAAAAACTGGAGATATAAGTTGCTCTTTTTTTCTTCCTAATCTCTTATTTACTTTAGTTTAATATCAAACTTTTTTGCAGTAACTCTTTTGCTATAGATTCTTTATACATATTACAATATTATAAATTTTTCACAAGCATATCATTATTGTTAAATTTTCTTGATAATCTTGACTTATTTGTAATATTTATTTCTAATTGTTATCATTGTAAAATTTGCGAATTATTTTCCTTAAACAATTTATTATTATTCATCTTAAATGATTTATTATCATTTAATTAAAATGATATATTATTATACTTCTTAAATAATTTACTATCATTTAATTAGAATGATGTATTATTATTTTATTTGAATAATGTATTATTGTTTTTCTTAAACAATTTATTATCGTTCAATTAGAATAATTTATTATTATTTAATTAAAATAATATATTATAATTCTTCTTAAATAATTTATTATTATTTAATTAGAATAATGTATTATTATTTTCTTAGATAATTTATTTAATTAAAATAATTTATTATCATTCTTCTTGAATGATTTATTATTACAGTTAACTCTTGATATAGCAAACTCTTAATATAACGAATTTTTTAAACAAATATAATAAAATACTCTTGTTATAGCGAATTGGCGAAGTTGAGGTTTAGAACATAGAATTTATTATAATAAAAGTTGACTGTATTTAATTAGAATAATTCAGTTAGATCAGGTCAAATAAAAATTAAAATCAAATCAGATTTTTGTTTAATTTGACTTAATTCTTTCAGTTCAAATAACTTGATTGACCTAACCTAAACTAACTTATTTGAAGCTCTAATTTTAATGTATATATTCTAATATAAATCTTAATATTAGTTTATAAATCTAACAATATTTTTTTAATATATTAAGATATTTAAATATATATATATATTAAATAAACTTTTATTTTATTTTTAATTTTAAAAAATTTTATTTGATAATTTATTATTTCTTTAATTACTATTAATAAAAATCATAAATTTTTTAATAAATTATAAAATTTATAATAATTAAATTATTTTTTATAATAAACTCTATAATATTATATTAGTAATACAAAAAGGGGGATTCTAGGATCAGAATTCGAAATTATATTTAAGAAGGTTTCTAATCATATTTTTCAAAACCTTCTAGTTATATGAATCCTCTATTAAATTTAAAACTCTAGCCCAAATTTAAGCTTTTTCCGCTATTCAAATATTTAATATCAAATTAGTATTAATTTACACTATCAGATATCAAGAATAAATCTAACTCTTATAGCCTTTCTAGCCCAATTTTAATTCCAAATAATATATCAAAAAAAATATACTATTCTGTTTGAATTTGAGGCGATGCGAGATTGGCAAGAACTGAAAGTTCAAAGCTAAGCTCATAGAGTCTTTGCAAACCTTATATGTATACTAATATTTATGCTATTCTAAAATTAATTCTAAAAGGGATTCGTTATCATCTAGCAAAGTAAAAAATTTACATTTAAGCATGTCTTAGATGTAAATTTTTTGTATGTGTACAAGAAAGTTAAAAAGCTATAGAATATATTTTAGTATATCATTATTTTTTCGATACACAAAAAACCATTCTGAAATCATTTGCTTTACATAAATCTGAGATCAAAAAGTCTAACCTCTGATGTAAAAATTTGGGCTAGATGT